CCACCGCCTCCACTACTTCCTAATCCTAACACCTACTTCCTAATCCTAACACGGTGTCCTCCACCGTTTCTATTCCCAATAACATTACTCCACCACATCTCCCCACCACCAACGCCTCCATACCTGAACACTAGATGCTTCCAGGCCGTCTTCGTCGACTGTGCTTCCCACCCCACCCCACCGTTTCTCTTCTATTTCTTCATCGAATCCTTTTTTTCCTTCATCCACCGCCATTCAATTCAGTCCCTGTCACTTCCTCCGATCTCCATCTATGTCTGACGACCATCAACAAAAGGGGAAGGACGGTCACTAAGTCGATTGTCTCCACCATAGAGAAACCCTCTTCATTGTTGAACGAAGCAAAATCGTAGAGACCTATTCATTCGTTCCTTTCAACCTCCGTATTGCAGCGATTGAGATCAATTTTAGTTCCAATTTCTAAAATCGAACACACAAACACACATCAATTTGAGTAACTCAATCCATATCCATTCAGTAACTATTTTGCATTACTTTGGGAAATTTTCCATAGTTTATTCACCCACAGCTCCATTCACCGTTGACTTTGATTTCAGACGAGACCCGGTTCGATTACACGCTGAATTGATGCTGACTCTCCCCATCGCTTACCGGTCCATCATCCGCCCATAATCGTCGCCCAACACCAACGGGGCTGCTTGGCATCAACACGTAACCAAGAGATGTGGCGCCTAATCAAAAATAGGAGTTAAATAGGTTTGGTTTTTTTGCTGAAAGAGAAGCCACTGAGTCTTCCGCCCATGACAGTCAACACCAACCTCAGGTCGATTGCTTCCAATTTCCTTCTATTTCCAGTTTTAATTATTTTGTTTGAAATTTAATAGATTTCATTGAATTTTTAGGGTTATGTTTAATTAACTGTCTCAATTGATTTGCACCTAATTCTCTGTGGCCTTCGTTTGTCACATATACCACCGACCTGTTTTTCATTACTGATTTTTTTTCTTTCCCGGATTTTGACTGATTTACAACCATACCTGGATTTTTTTTGATGGAAAGATTAGGATTTTTCTTACTGCACACAACGTGTTCGACAAAATGTCACACCGAAGATTTTCTGCTTTGATTGCCTTCAATTGTCAGGTTTGCATTTTTCTATTTTGTGGTTCTTTTTTTGCGTAGTGTTTGACAAGATGTAGGTGGGATCTTCTGTGAATATAGTAAAAGGTTGAACCGAGTTGTGCAACTCCGTTGCCAAGTGTCATGTTATGAGGTTTGTATTTCAACATATTATGTATTGGTATTATATGCACGTTATTGATTTTTGTTATTTATTTATTTTTATTATTATGTGTTTGTGTTTCTGTAGTGTTGCATGTGGTTCAGCGCATTTCTTGGTGGTGGTTGATAGGTCAAATGTGGGGAAATGGCTTGACAAGGTATTCGTTTCCTTATCTCTACTATATCTCTACTATGGAATGGAATGCTTAATTCCATAGGAATCAAAATACTTTTGTTTGTTTTCTTTATAGACTGAAATTCGGCAAGGTTTATGGTTGACAATCAACATAATATTCAAAAAATAATCATAACAATCTATATCATATATACATTGTCATATACTAATTTTTAATTTTTAATCATTTTTAGGAAGGGCATATAGTATTGTGTTAGCCGAAAGAGTTCTGCTAAATTTTATCCAAAGAATGAGTGGCATAACCACACTCACAAAGATAACAATAACTACATAATAATCTATAAGCATTAACAAAATATTATTTATTTTAATTGTTATAGGCGATGGAAGAAGCTGCAAACTCTGCGTGCATATTGGAAACAAGAAAAACTGCATCGGCATTACGTTTGGTGGATAACTAGGCGGTGTAGTTTTACTTTTTTATCTTTTAATCTTTTTTACATAAACCCTAATTTCACCAACAACAATCTTCAAATGGGTTTATTTGATATGGTGATGATAAAAGACAATCATATCTCCATATCTGGAAGTGTCTCAAATGCCCTTAAATCCGTTCACCTTTATTTGACCAACAACAATCTTCAAATGGGCGTTGAGGTCATTTCAATTTCGATTTCAGTGAGTTTGTTTGTTTGTTTCGCTTTTATTTTCAAAACCAATTTTTTTTAATGAATAGGTGGAGACAATGACATTTGAGGAAATACACGAGTTTTTTAACCACAAAAAAATGTTTTTTATATAATATTTATCGCTAGATGTAAGATTTTAAAATTTCATATTCGGTGTTCGATTTAATGAACATCAATTTAACTGAATAAAATCTTTGTATCAGGAGTATCAAACGAGTTTTGGAGGTGTTGAAGAAGACAAAAAGACTAACTAAGACAAAAAGAACTAAGCATCCAAAAAATAAACAAAATATAGATGATATTATAGCAAGAAGGTGAAATTGTTTTATTATGAGATGAGGAAATTAAAAAAAAATTTATTTGTTATTGCTAGATTGACCGACTTCCAGCACAGCTACGACCTACCCTTTTGATCAGTTATAGCCAGAGCCACATGCAACATTTTAATAGGATTGTTGCATTCAAGTTCAATGGAATTGCAGGAACTTGGTTTTAGTTTCTCATTATTTGTATTAGATAGGTTTAAGTGTTGTTTATTCAAATCCAATTTATCTGTTATTTTTGCATTTAATTTTACTTACATACAAGAAATAACAACCCACTTTCATAACTATGTATTGTTTCATCCTTCTGTTATAATATTATTACTTCAACATTGATTTCAATCCACATGCACCATTCCGATCCACACAACACCATTTCTGACCAGCGCAACGCGCTGGAACGCTTCTAGTTTATATTAGTTTTGAAGTTTTACAAAGAATTTATTGATTACTGATTTGTTATTTCTGTATTTTGTTATTTATTAATTGTTAATTAGTTTTGTTAAGTAGTGGATATTAAAATGAAACGAATAATCCAATAGATTTTTTAACTCAAGATCTGGAGTAGCCATCCGAGATTATATATTGAACTAGGTTACAAACCCCGTGGAAACCACGGTTGATAATCTTAAATAGAATTAAAATTCTAATTGTATAATAACATAATATATCATTAGTTTAGAAAAAATCATGAATTGTGATATTGTATTTTTTTTATTAACTTTGTAATTTGTAAGTATTTAATAAGTATGTAAGTCCAACTATTTGATAAAAGTCACGAGTTTGTATAATGCAACATACATTTGAGTAGTGGATATTAAAATGAAACGAATAATCCAATAGATTTTTTAACTCAAGATCTGGAGTAGCAATCCGAGATTATATATTGAATATAAATAATCATATGTCTAGTTAAAACGAGGTTACGGAATAAAATGGATGATTAGTTTTTAAACTATATACTTATTAGTTTTGTACCTCGAAAGAGAACACGTTGAAAAGTTCAAATTAGAGATACTTTTGAAACATTCAAAGACTAAAAAAGATGATTTATATGAGTGATATAAGAATATTGTATACCGATTTTATTGTTTATATTTTTTATATATCTTAATTTTAAACAAAAATTAACGGGTTTATATCATTTTTATTAGTTTTAGTTTCGATCCCTTTAATTTTAGTGATTGTGTTCCGCCTCTAAATTTTAAGGTGTTACATGGAGCATGACATGACATAAAAGTTTGTTGTGTTCGCAGTATATCAAATAAGCAAGTACCACATTGTTATAGTAAGTATTGTTCTCAAAGTAAAGTGCTAATAGCATAATGTTATAATAAGAAAAAAAATAAAAATGAAATCCAGTGTGATAATTTAGGGTTTGGGTAAATAAGACATCATGTTTACGTTTGTAAAGTTGTACTATTACTTTCTCTAGATGGCTTTATTGCTCGTTACTAATTGTTAGTCTGTTAGCATTATATCTAGTGTCAATCATCTCATGTAAATAGATAGTTGAGGCTCGTGGGTATGGGTTACCTCCTCCCATCAAATTTTTGTCGCCTCATATGTCATGTCACTATCGACATCATACCATATTTACTACGAAATACTCATAGGAAAGGTTGTGTTTGGGTATAGGTTTGGTTTTAGTGGAAGGTGTTTGGGTGTTGCTTAATTTTTTGAATTTTGGAGTTGTGAAACTGTGTAAAATAGAGAGAGAAAAAAATAATGTAAAAAAACATGGAATGATATGTCTCGGTAGCTCGAAGACTACGAAATACTCACCACACCACTTTAATATCCATGTCATTTTTTTCTGTTTTTTCGAGTTTTTCTTTTTTTCAAAAATTATAAAAATAAATCATATAATATTAAAAAAACATATCATGATAATTGAAAATAAAGACATTACATATAAATAAACGCTTTGTTGGGAATTTGGTTGGTGTCCATAAACAATTTATTGGAAGTATGATAGTGAAGGACGTTTAATCGGAGATGAGGTGAGATTGAAATAAGTTTGTTTGTATCATACTTACGGCGAACCTTGGGTATTTAATAGGTTAATATAACCATCGTTATATTTTGGAGCGAATCTCATAGGAAAGTTTGTGTTCGGGTGTAGGTTTGGTTTTGGTGGAAGGTGTTTGGGTGTTGCTTAGTTTTTTGAATTTTGAAGTTGTGAAACTGAATAAAATAATGTAAAAAAACGAAGAATGAAATGTCTTTATAGGTTAAAAAAACTAATTATTTTTTAAAATCAAACCGTTTGACCAAACAGTCATGACAGTTTCCTTTTTTCATGTGTGGAGCAATGTTGAAGGCTCAACATACAACCACGATGTGTGTAGCTAGGGTGATGTTCCTATTGTGTCAACGTTTTAAGACCATACCAGTAGCCACCCTAGTGTATATATATTTTCGATTGGCATGCCTGGGTTGGGGTTGACGAAAATCTAACTTTTGTATTTTTGGATAAAATTAAAATTACTAATTACTAATCATCATAAAGAAAAAAGTTTGAAATAAATTGATATTTTGGAGCTTTTTATACGTTTATTCTCTCCACGTGTACCATATCAAATAAATACTCCGGGTGTGGTCCTCTACCTCGCTGCAAAATCAATCAAAAGCCCTAAATTGATGTCAAAATGAAAATCACCCAACGGTTCAATCGAGTTGTTAAACCCTTAAAGCCTGTAGATTGCTCCACGAAAGATCCCAAACCTTCAATTCTTAAGATCAAACCAAATTTGAAGCCAAAATCAAAGACAAAACCTAGAACAATGAAGCAAAAAGCCCTAACCCAACCCGGTCTTCATTCAGAAGAATCAAAACCCACATTTTTGTTGGAAAAAGCCCCAATACTGGGTCTTGAATTTTACCAAATCGACGCCCTTGATCTTGCACCTCGATTGCTTGGCAAGTATCTGAGGAGAGATGACGTTGTTCTCCAGATTACAGAGGTAGAAACTTGAAATTTACATATTCTTCTTAATCAATTGTGAATATGCAGAAGAGCTTAGATTAATCAAAGTCCCCTGATTTGTAACATCAATTAGGGTTTAGAGTAATCAGTGTCTGATGCATCCATATTGATTGATGATTAATCAATATTCGATGTATTTGCATGTGTTTATGAAAGTAATAATTGGTAAAATCAATTAATTATGAACTTGGCACTGACAGGTAGAGGCGTATAGATCTAACGATTCGGCTTGTCATGGTCGAGTTGGCATTACACCAAGAACTGCTCCTATTGTAAGATCATAAAACCATTCTTTTGCTCTCCACTCTTGATCTTTTTCACTCTATGCTTATTCTTTCTTTTATAAAATTGCATAGTTTGGAGCGGGAGGGCATGCTTATGTTTATCTCTGCTATGGTCTGCATACCATGCTCAATGTTGTGGCTGACAAAGAAGGAATTGGGTCAGCTGTCTTGATACGTTCTTGTGCTCCTGTCACTGGTACTCTATTCTTGTATAATATAACTCTGTTATTTTCTATTACCCACATTACAAACATATAAAGATTAGTAAATTTGTAACAGAACTTGTATCAATTTTTTAATTTTTTTTTTTTTTTTAAAATGAATAAATTGATGATATGAATTAACAGGATTGGAGACTATCAAACAACGTCGGGGTTTGGATACTGAGAAGCCAATTCTTCTTACGGGGCCCGGCAAGGTCAGACTCAAATTATGGCCTTTTTCTGTTCTTATTAAGTGCAGATAAATACACTTATACATTTTGCTTTTTTTTTTTTTTACTTTGTCTGGACACAATGACTTAATGGGTTAAGCCAAAAAAGAAACATGGCTTAATGTGTTAAGACACTAACCCGTTATTACAACTTCATTGCCCATTTAGTCACTTTACCCGTAACCGATTCCATGTGTTGACTTTATTAAGGTGGGTCAAGCACTTGGGATTTCTAAAGAATGGAGTAGTCATGCTCTCTTTGCTCCTGGTAACAATTGATCCTAAGTTTATTTATTTTATATATTTATTTATTTGGATAAATGGAATGAAATTTGAAATAATGTTTTAGGTGGTCTGGAATTGTTGGATGGGCCGGAAATGAAAGTGGAGGAGATGGTAGTGGGCCCACGTGTGGGGATAGATTATGCTTTGCCTGAAGATGTTGAGGCATTATGGAGGTTTGCAGTTGCAGGTAGCCCTTGGATAAGTGCTCCTAAGAACACCCTCAGACCACCTTCATCTTCTACAAAACTCTTGGATATCACAATTTAAAGTTATCTTTTTTTTTTTGGAGGGGAAAAGAAAGTGTTTTTTCTTGGGTTAAATGTTGATGTTATTATGTATAGTAAACAAATTATTTTGAAAAGATTTATCACTTAAGTTTTATATTTGTTCCAACTTAAGAGTCTCCAAAGTTTAAATAAAAATAGATAAAAACAAGATTTATTGTCATAATCAAACTGAGAGTTCGCATAATATTAAAGAGACTTTAAAGTTTTTGTTTATGACAGATGTTTCTTTTCCCAAAACCAACAACTTTCAAACTCTTTTTTGTCTTCAATATTTTGATTGTTTCTATTGTTGTAATGGGAAGTTACACCACACCTAAGAGATTCCAAATGGTAAAGTCTTAACTTCCTTAATTCCGTAATGAAATGAGCTAGTCCATTTCTTCCTGATTTCATCATACCAAGATTTAAGATCTGTTGCAAAAAAGGGCTTTAAAGGTTGAGATGTGAAATTCTCTAACTATTGAACATAATTTAAGGGTCTTTTTCCTTATATGAATAAAGGGTGTGTTCGACACAATCTTTTAGAGCTTCTAGATAATATGTTTGTTCGACAGTATAACCTTCAAATTCAAAAACTATTTCAAGTAGCCTTTAACCAAAAGTTTCTTTTTATAATTTTGCAAATTGATTTAATTACCCTATTTTTTTTAATCAACATCAACATTGTGAATTAGATAAGTTTTGTCAAACACATCCAAAATAGCTATATAAAGTCTAAACCAATTGAGTAAGTGTGTGAATTAGATAAGTTTTGTCAAACACATCCAAAATAGCTATATAAAGTCTAAACCAATTGAGTAAGTGTTTGGCTAAGCTTATTTAAGGAGCTTTTTAACTTATTACCGATTCCAAACTGTATAAGTTTAAACAAATGTTTGGATAGACTTTTAAAAAATAGCTTATAACAATTCCACACCGAAAATAAGTCATTTTTTATAAGTTACTCCTCACTTACTTATCAAAAAGCTCCCAAACACTTTTATAAAAAAGTTTCGTTTTGATACCACTATAAGTTTATAAGCTAACAAGTAAAAAAAATGTTAAATCATTTTAAATAAGCACTTCCAAACACCCTCTAGGTAAATTGCTATTTTCCCTTATTTTTGGTTCAGAAATGTTAATAATTTTAAATTACACCGACTTTTTTGGGGGAAAAAACTATAAATTGATGTTTATTGTAAAAGTCAATACAAATGTCCTTGAATCCGAAACCAACAAACCATGAAGAATTTAAGAAATTCAAACCAAATCAAAACATGACAAAGGCACACAGCAACATCAAACCAATTAACGTGTTCTAAACACAAAGAAAAGGAAATCAAATCAAACCATATACATATTACCATATTGCCTTTTAGAATTTAGAAGGAATACGAAATTGAAGTATGGAAAAAGAAGAAACAAATTGCACCAGAAACCTTACCATATACAAAGCCAAAAAACACATGATTTACATTCCAAATGAATCACTATTTACAAACTTGAACCAAATGGAACCAAACAAAACCATAAAACATTATAAAATTGAATGAAATTCTGGATTATCACTTGAACCCTAAAATGCCAAACCAAACAAGCAAGTGAAATTATGACAATGAGACAACTACATTTCAATTACCAAACTATTGACAGAACATTTGAAGAAAAAAATTGGTAAAAGAAAAAAAAAAAACACCCATCACTCTTAGTCAACCCAACACAAATGACAAAACCATATTACACAACAGTTAAAAGATCATCAGCAACATACCTTGAATCCACCCACATTCTCCTTCTGTGGTCCACACAAACTAATCCAATCTAAAAACACAAAAAATGTCAAAACTTATTAGCATATCATGTTATCTTGAAATGAAAATAATTTAATAATAATACCTAAAAGAAATGATATACAAAAAGGTTATATCATGTCTGCCCCCCATATCATATGCCACGTGGAAGCTTGTTTTATGAGGAACTTCAAACTTCAAACCAATTGTGTTTTAATTGTTGTTTTAAGATGCAGACCCATAAAACTCAGTAAAGTCAAGGCGAAACATGAGAAACTTCAAATCAATATGCTGTTGCACAGGCAATTGAGAAAGAAACCCTTTAAAGAGTAAAGAATATTCCTTGGAAACCGCATCAATATCTTGTCCTGTATTTTTCAAAAAATCACCCGCACGTTGTGTTATCGCTTTCCTCCCTTCACTTTCCCATGAATCAGAATCCATGTTTTTCTTGCTTCTAGAATGTTTCACACCTTCCATCTTCTTATCTTCCATTGTCCTACAAACATTGATAAATCACACACACAATATAACTTTTTTACTTAATGGGCTTAATGAGTTAAGCACTTATTAGTTATTATTACCTTGCTTGAAATTCATAAATTCCTTCATAAAGTCGATCTGCATGACTACGGAAGCGTAATATAAGATCAAACAACATGAAGAGTGTTTTGTATAAATCTTTAGAACGTTCACCAAGAAGAGACTTCTCAACAATCGAATGAAGATACTTATCATGAGCTGCAAGAAGGTCATCAAGATCTTTAGCTGCTTCCATTTCATCAGAAAAATTAGCCCATGAAACCTCCAACACCTCAAACATTATATAATACTGCAAATTAGTAAGAAAATGATTCATTTCATTCCACAAAACTTGACACCTTCTTGAAGTCAAAATCAACCGAAACTTAACAGCCTTCGGTAGCTTCGTGAAGAAATGAGAAGTAATCAAATTCGGTTTCATTGTCTTCCATGCACCAATAAGCGCGTGTTCCACCCTTCTAAGCTTCCATAAAAAATTAAAAATTCTAAGATATTTTGCCATTATAGAGCCTGTAAATACTGTATTTAAAGGAATTCTCGCATCATAATCCAAAGAAAACACATCCCACCCTCTATCTCCAGTACTATGTGGCATCATTTTGACACGTAATCTATCTAAAACATCAGGGTCGTCATATTGCGCGTTTGATGACCTAATTGCACTTTCTAAAAGCCCGGAGAGTTTGAAAGAACTTATAGTGTTAGCAGGCTCTGAAAGCTCGGGCCCCACTATGTCCATTAAGTACTGAACAAAATCGCCTTGACCTAATAAGAGGTATCGTTTGATAGCAAGACAATGTTCTTTGAATCTATAACGATTGTAAACAACATCCATTAAGTGTTTATCGATTCTTTTTGCTGCTTCTGTGACTAAAGATTCTAGTGCATCTGTTTCACCATATCCTAGACCTCCTCTTCTTGTTGTAGTCCCTGTAGCAGCTGCAGCTTGTGTTGCTGCATCTGCCCAGGTTCTATCCTCACAGCAAACCCTAAGAAAGTTGATGGATTTACCTGTTCTTAGTATACGGCGTGCGAGAGATTGAGAGATGAAAGAAGGAAGCATTGCAGGATGGAGTTTATAACCTTCTCTCCATAAAGATTCTGCTTTTACAGATTGTCCAAGAACAAAAAACTCAGAAAAGATGTCTTCAAGCTCACCTTCTAAGACCCAACTTCTTACCATTTCGAAAAGAGGAGAACATACTCTGCGAAGTAATCGTTTCATGAAACCATGGAGAAGAGGGTCACCATGTTGGGCGTGCATGTGGATTGCTCCAGCCATGGCTCCACCCTTGAGAGCTTTACAGCTGTCTACAAGAACAGCCATTAGGCGCATCTTCACCATTGGCTCTGCAAACCAGACTGAAAGTCTTCTAAGAGAAAGATAGTTGCCTGAGGTTGCATTGTCTGAAACTAAAGGAATTGGATTCATTGATTGTGATTGGAGTACAGCTAGTAGTTTATAGTACTCAGAAAGCTCATCTTGTAATGCTGCACAGAATGCTTGAGCTACTGTTCCAACATCTTCATCTTGGAACTTGTACATACTATCGGAGATGTAGCCTTTTACCTTTTTGAACAACCAGCCAAGCTCACAGAGCTTACGGATCATGATTTTGGTAGGCTTTGGAACCCTAATTGAATCCAGTAATGCATATCCATCAATGGTTTCATTGAACTTCACATACTTCCCATCGATTCCTTGACAAGCATACAGCACATCTCTCACCAAAACCTCCTCTGAAACATCATTCTCTTCCTTCACTATCACAGCAAACTCCCTGTACGCTATATCTCGCAAATTCTCAGGATCTTTTGAAACCAATAGAACGCCACCATTGTTGAACTTTGTTGAATTACTATGACGCAAACCGTTTACATTATCATTAGAAACCGTGTCGTCATTCCCATCATCATCAAAAAATTTCCCTAAACGTGAAAAACCAGAACTATCCTTTGTAACCCTAGCAAGATTTCCATTGGTTTCAGGCTCAAGTAACGTTGGGAGTCCACCAGAAAAGCTCGAATCGCTTTGAAGTTTAAGGTTACTTTTACGATCTTCGGAAATGACTTTGAGCAAATAAAGGACGGCCCACTTATTGTTAACACTACCAGGGCCATTTTTAGAAGCGAATTTAGAATAGAGATCTGCAAACGATAAGGCATCAGACAGTTTACCTTGTTTAACGAGTTGGCTCTTGATAGAATACGCCATAGCGGCTTCGTCGGCGGCGATCGATGGCGTCATTCGGCTGGATAAAATGCGAGTGGCGTACTTGACATTGCTAGGGTTAGGTTTTGAGTTTGAAAGTGAAGAAGAAGAATTGTTATGCAGACGGTGGACTAATTCCCGGACAAGATCTCCGACACGGCGGTCGTCTTCCATGGAAAGCGATTAACGGCGAGCGAGAGGGGGAGGGAGGTGTTTGTAAGGTTTGAGAGAAAATCGAGGGCTTTTGTTTTTTAGTTTTGTTTCAATGTGGGCGCGGAAATAATTTCGTTTTCAGTCACCAGAGTTTTTTTAATTATAATTCTACCATCACTTTTCTTTTTCAAAAACTCCTTTCTCACAAAAATAAATAAATAAATAGATTAAAAAGCATTTAGGAAATCTTCATTAACTGTCCTTATATTTGGGTTCGTTTAAAAAAAAATATAATTTGAATAAAAAATGAGAAAAAAGGTAAACAAAAAAAAGATATATAGATTAAATAGCATTTAGGAAATCTTCATTAAGTGTCCTTATATTTGGGCTCGTTTTAAAACAAAATTATAATTTGAATAAAAAATGATAAAAAAGGTTGCAGTTTTATTTATATAATTTGGATTTTAGTAAGTTAATGATCGACACATAAAATCAAATATAATGGTCTTTGAAAAATACGATCAAAATTTAAAGATTTTAGAAAATGATTATTTTATAATTATATTTTTATTCTTAGTTTATTATATTATTGTATTTTTTCGGTATGACAGAAATTAGAACAGCCATGCACATCGGGTCTACTGTGTGACTGGTCCGCCCGCACCGGGCCTTCAGTCCACCTGGTCCACCCTCCGAGTCCAGCCATGTACATCGAGTCTACAGTGTGATTGGTCCGCCCGCACCGGGCCTTCAATCCACCTGGTCCACTCTCTGAGTCTACAGTATGACTGGTCCGCCCACACCGGGCCTTCAGTCGGTCTGGTCCACTCTCCGAGCCTCGGCACGTCTGGTCCGCCCTCTTGGGGCCTTCAGCCTATCCGGACCGCTCGCTGGGCCTTCGGAATATCCGGTCCGCCCTGGGTATGTTGGCCTACAGCACAAAGCAGGACCCGCCTCAACCCAACCCCCGTCAAACAACCATGTGCACATAAAACAATTCATCACATAACAAATCCTTAACCAGACTATCAGTCTAACAGATCACATAGCATATCAACATCCTAACCAGGATTCCGACCTAACCGATCACTAGCATAGCATTACCCTATATACCGGGTACCGACCTTAACCGGGTCACTAACATAACATCGTCCTAAATACCAGGATGCAGATCTAGCAAAGCAATAACATAACAACAATACCCGGATTTCCATCCGATAAAGGTCCGGCCTTGGTGCCGTAGACCCTGTCGATATAGTGAGGATAACTCACCTGCAATTGCCGACTGGAAAGATAAGACCAAGCTGCTCTGACCACCGACATGATCTTCACCACATAACACTACCAAAGAACCAATTTCATAAATACCCTTGAAGGTCAAAGTCAAAGTCCAGGCCAAAGTCAAACTTCCTAACTGACCCTACTCGCCGAGTCAACCCGTTGACTCGTCGAGTCCTTATACTCTGAAAACTCTTAGAACACGACTCAACTCGCCGAGTCACCCCAAGACTCGTCGAGTCCAACGATCTCCGAGTCCCATCCTGTCCAACTCACTGAGTCACCCCTCGACTCACTGATCTGCGTCTTAACCAGAAGAGGTTTGGGGTTCTGCGACCTGACTCGCCGAGTCCAAGAACAGACTCGTCGAGTCCAAGGCAATCTTCAACAGACTCGCCGAGTTGTTCTTCCAACTCGCCGAGTCCATGCACATGTTCATACAACTCGTCGAGTACACCCATGTGACTCGCCGAGTCTCTTCAGTTCTCAATCCATACAGAGGCTTTTCGAGCCATGCAGGGGCTCCAATCCATAGATCCACTCTTCTACAGCCTAACCCTCACATAAAGTTGCAAACTTTACGTGAAACCAAGGAGATATAGGCCCAAAACACACTAGGGCTTGGGTTTTAGACAAAGGGGCTTCACCAACAACTCAAAGACTGAAGCTTTATGACATCCTAGGCCATCATGAGTCTAGATCTGGAGTAGCAACCTCAGATCTAACTCTAAATCCGAAATAGATCTCAAAACAAGCTAAAGAACTCCCAAAACAACCACCAAGGATGAACCAAAAAGGAAATAGCTTAAGATAAGGGCTCCTTACCTCAGAGATGTGCCCAAAACTGATGTAGATCCCAGATCTTTACAAGCCCCTTGATGCTAGCTTCCAATTTATCAAGCTCCTTCCACCAATTTCCTCTTCCAAGCCCCAATCTCCTCAACAATGAAGCCTCACACGAAATTAGGGTTTTCTGGAACTCTCTGGGGGTTTAGGAGGCTGGAAGAGGGACATAAAGTCCTTTAAATAGGGTGCAAACCCTAAGATTAGGGTTTTCTCATTCCAGCACCAACTCGTCGAGTCCAAGCCTCCGACTCGGCGAGTTGGTCACTTAATTCGCGATCCAAACCCGCTCCGACTCGGCGAGTAAGCGTACCTACTCGTCGAGTCCTTTCCTTTATTTACACTTAACACCCTTCACTTCTTGTTCCGAACTTAGGATGTTACAAATAATATTCTAATAGAATAAAATTCTGAAAGAACCTCATTCTAACAAAAAAATATTCTGACAGAATAAAATCGGTTATGTTTACAAATTACTTTAGAATTAAAATTGAATTAATTAAAAGAAAAATCAGATTTTAAAAATTAAGAGAATTTATTATCCCTAAAAAACTGAAAATTTCCTTTTATAAATATAGTTAATTGTCTAAAATACCCTTTTGCTAAAATGTATGTGATTATATGGTATATGTTATCCCATTGTACTATCATACACCCTCAAATCATGTCCATTGATTAATTTCAGCCGTTGGTCCAGATCTGTGCATTCTGACACACAATAGTTAGTAAAAACAAAATAACCTAAGCATATATATATATATATATATATATATATATATATATATATATGACAAGATTGTAAGAATGGTCCTATGGTTAGATGGAAATTGTCGCTTTAAGCCAAAAATGTTTGGACTAACATTTATGGTTTAAAACTTTTCATTTTGTTGCGATTTTGATCCATTTTGATTTGATTTTTTATAAAATAACGATTTTGTCATTTGTATTTTCTTTTTTCAATTCTTTTATTACAGAAAAAATACTCTCTCTCTCTCTCTCTCTCTCTCACACACACATCGTCATCTCTGATATGCGGCCTATCATCGTTCTCCATCCATAAACACAAATGTCGGTGACTCTTTGCACTCCATCACTCCCTCGCCAGTACGTCGACCACCATCAGTGGTAATCTATAAAATGTCGCCATAAAAATCAAGGATTGAGAATGGAGATGAAGCTCGAAAAAGAGGAAAACATAGGGTATTAACATATCAGGGAAGGGAGAAAAAAGAAGCAGTGACAGAGATCGAGTTTTGGCATTGACGCAAGGTGTTGCCCAGATTTGTTCGTCGTGAGATTTTCGTCTGAAACCCAAGAAACTAGAAAGATGGCGGCGAAACCCTAATATGTGTAGGAGGGGTTATGAAGGTGGTCAGCGGAGCAGTGGTGTAACATCCCGATGATGAGGTATTTTCAATTTCAGCCCTAAGTATGAAAGAATATTGCATTTTGACCCTTGGGTTTGAGGATGACGAAGGTTGCAAGAATGGCCCATAGTGGCATTTTGGTAATTTTGGCAAGGAAGTTAGTACGTTGAGCGTATGTTGTGTACGCTAGGCATATTGGGGTGGACCCTAGTACAATGGGCATACACCGCGTATGTTGAGCGTACGTTGGTAGTTTTTTAGGGTTTTGTCCATATATAAGCATCATTATCTCTCCTTCCTCATTCCTTATCCAGCCTTCAACCTTCATTTCTCCATTTGCAACCCTAAACCCTTGTGTGTGATCCTTTGAGCTCAAAAGTGTGTGTTTGTGGTGCCTTTGCAGCTAGGTGAAGAAAAAAGCATCATCTTGGAAGATCAAGACCTTCTAGATCCAAGAACACCTCACCTTCAAGATCTATTTTGAGGTATAAAGTTATGAACTTGATGATTTTATGCATAGATCTAAGTTAGGCATGGAATTTGTGTCCTTTTGGTCCCATCATTTATGTATTTTGAGTACAAGCTACCCTAATCCATTCAAGTTGTCCTTTCAGTCACTTTGAAGTGTTTAGAAGCATAAAAATGTAGTCTTGGTCATATCTTTCTTTCCATATATGTGTTTTGAGGTCTTAATGGGTTAGATGGTTGAGGTTTTTGATGTTAAGACCTTATTGGCCATGCAAGACCATAAAGTTGGAAACTTTATGGTAAAAAATGTTATTTGAGACTTGGATATGACTTTAGACGTGGAACTTTGGAGTATTAAGCTCTTAATGGGGAAAAGGGCTGAACATGTGTTGTACACTGTGCATACCAAGTGGTACGCTGCATGTACGCAGTCAGAGCCCCGTAATCTTGTCAACCATCAAGTACGCCCTGCGTACAGAAGAGTATGCCCAGTGTAATCGGCTGGGTGTTGACTTGACTTTTGACCGTTGACCAAGTTTGACCAAGGGTATTTCAGGAAAATGTTATTAATTTAGAAATGGGAAATGTTTGGACGTTTAGGATTTAGGTTGAGCCGGTTGTCGGAGCTGGGAGTTATTCATACTACATTCAGACTGTGAGGTGAGTTTTTCCTCACTATACTTACAGGTCGAAGGCACCAATACCGGCCCATTGGATTGATATCCTGGTTTACCGTTTTTTGCTATGTTGTGTGATCTGTTAGATCTGTATCCTGGTATATAGGATGTCGTTATGTTGTAGTGATCTGTTAGATCTGTATGACTACCTAATAATGATGCTTTATCAATAATCTAATAATGATGGTAATAACAATATAATAGTTATAATAATTATTATATTTATAATTATAGTTATAATTATAATTATAATAACAATGATAATAATATTAATTATAAAGGTTAATAATAAGAATACTTATAAATAGAACACTCAAGAATTTTCGATAAATTATGGACAACAGTTTCAAGGACGATTTAGTGAATTTTAATTTTAAGTAATATATTGAAATAAATTAGTATAAAAAAGGAAATCAATTGCCAATTAGTCGATAATTACCAATTATTACCCACATATTATTTATTTTCTAAAAAAATATTTTTA